TTTTTTTTTTTTTTTTTTTTTTTTACGTCATGCAATCGTCCATCCAGCCGCGATTACGGGAGTTGTACTGACATACGAAAAAAAAAAAAATTTTTTAGGTAACCCAATGATTTCGTGATTTTGGGCTTACGTATATGTTAATTTTGTTATGAAAAAAATTTTTGGGAAAATTACTACTAATTACTATATAATTATCTAATACCTTCGGCATGGGAGAGATTTAGGATTCGATGGTGAAATAGACGTTTTTACGAATTCATTTTATTTACACTGTATGCTCTTGGATCGAGAAGCTCTAGTTGACTTTACGGTAACTTATCCTGTACTATTTAGATATTATATTCATAGTGACATGGTTTTATTGTACCGGCGACATAGATTTTCGTAGGGCAATGATTTCGAGAAATTTGAATGAAAAGAAAAAGGGAAAAAGTATATATCGCGAAAAAAACCCTTTGATAAATCTATTCGTACAGTTATATTATTTATTTTTGATATATCGATCTTATGCACTATATTATTTATCGATAAATCGCATCTAGACTCACGTGTCACGCTCTACGATATAAGCGTACTTTCTCCCCTGTCCATCGATCGTACGTACCTGTCTCGTTATTGATAATTCTTTTTTTTTTATCATTTTTCAGTTAACCTGCAAAATCTATCAGAATAATTTTCATTTACACAGCTTCCCTTCGATTTTTCCTTTATAAATTAAATTCACTTTTCCGTACACGTGCACTTTGCTTTTTTCATAAGGAAACACGATTTCTTGAATTTCCTTGTATTTCGCAAATTTTATCTCCCTTCCTCGCACTTTTTTACCCATTTTATTTCGTGTTCGTGTTACGTCACGCACTAGCGAAGTACATATGTATTTTCCTTTCACGTATGAGTTACCATGCATGTGCCACTGATAAACTCAATATCACAAGTAAAGTGTACGTGAAACGAACTCCAAACGTTAAATGTGTTTTTTTTCTTCTTCAGGAAACAAAAAAAAAAGCGCACAACATATTCACAGCATTAGGTCCCCTCGTACACGTCCAGGTTTCATTTTCTTTTTTTTTCACCCTATTTCCTTTCTTTTTACTCCTAGTACCTCCACTTCGTTTTTCGGCTTTTACTCCATTTCCATTCGCTTGATTTTTAACGGGAAAATGTTAAACAAAGTTTCAAACTTTCTTCCGCATGGACCAAGCTCGGGGCGCAATCAAAACCGACGATCTGCTCCGCAAGGTTCAATCCGAATTTAAATAGGTGGAAACCCTGAACCAAAACCATGTACCCATTTCTGTACTCTTGGCCCTATTCACTACCGCGTAATTTGCATTTTATCGAAAAATCGTCGCAGCCTTTTTCTTTTAGGAACCTGGTTCGCAGAAGTGAAATTTTCCATTGTCTATAATGCTCTGGCAATCCTACGTCTTTTTTAATGAAATAAAATTGCTATCAGACCAATAATTTAGTTAGTTGGTTAAAATTACAAAAATTCATCTCTAGGCGATCATAAATTAATGGAACAAGTTTAATTGATATTTATGAAAATTCATACGTTCGCCCATCGATACGTATACTTGTCCATTGCCTAATTAGCGAATCTTATTTTAATTCTTGTAATAAGTGATTGCCTCTCTGTTACTTGAATAATATTTTCAAATTTCAATCATTACCTTATACGCTTAATTAGATTTACACTACGATTAATTATAAGCTGCACAGTCGTGAATATACCATTTTTTTTCTCTTTTTACCTAAACACACCAAATTTTAATGCCATTCTCTTACACGAACTTAGCACCTCTGAGTCATAAATGGTGAACATTACAAATATCGAATTGTTCATTCTAACAACTTTGATTATGCATCTATACACGTAAGTGTAACAAAAAGGTATATCGTTAAATTTTTGCAACAACTTTAAATTAACACAAGTTGAACAATCTGGTAAATTTTTTTTTGTTTTTTTTTTTTTCTTTTCAACATGACCGGCCCATTTACAGTAGTCGGACGAGAGAATAAAAAAGATTTGAAAAGCAAAAATTGACAGATGCAACAGGCAACGTAATTTACAGATTAGGCACACATCTCTCATTTTCATAGTCGTTAATTAATTCATTAGCTCGTTAGACCATTCATCGCCACGCATGCACAGGTACACTCATCTCAAAAAATTAAAAGATCTGCACGCGTAAGGCACTACCGTACATATTTCACTTAGTACAGGTCGCGCCTGAAAATATTCTACGTGTCCATAAGGGATAAGGTATCCACAGGCCGGCCGTTAAGCTAAATAAATAAACGTCATTCTCTACGTTATAATAATCAGATCTACGTCTACGTCCCAACGTCTTACGTGTTACGCACCGATAGTGGGAAGATTGTTCGCTCGCTTATCAATTATCAATCACGAGGAACTACGAGAGGAAGGATCGAGAGTGAATAAAAAAGATATGCACGTATAAAATCGACAAAATAGAAAATCAAATAAACGTAAACAAAATAAATTTTTCTTCCAAAAAATTTATAGCGATCGACGAAAAATTCGTCTGATATATAAATTGATCGATATGTATTAAATACGTTAAACTATTTCATTGATAATCAGTTTACTCGATTATTCGATTTTTAACTATATTTCATATTTTTGTCAGTTAGGAATTTTAGTAGCAGTCTCGAACAGCGACTTTTTTCGTAATCGATCGTTCTTATCGATCTTTTTCTCTACGTAATAATAATTGGTAAAAAAAAGGAATATGGAATTAATGCATTACTATGATATAGGGAAATAAACGCTTTTCTATACATATACAGTTATATACATTGATCTTCGGTAATCCAGTTTTTGGTGTATATATGTATAATACAATACGATATGCCAACACTCGCCATATTACATTGTGGAAGGGCACGCTTTCGTGATATGTATAACTATTTACAATGCTACGAAAAAAGAACTTCGACCAATGAGTTCTTCATATACCTTTTTGCCTAATTTCGATTTTAATACTAAATTTTTGACTTTTCGTTAGGAGACGCCGTAATACTTGTTATTTACGGGATAACAATTATAACGCAGGAATCTTCCTCGTGATTGTAGATTATGGATATGGGGTTCGCAGAGGTCATAGGTCAACGACCTGTCCATAGATCATCTTGCGACCGGACAGTCTCGCAATTACATTCGATAATTAGACCTTGCATCGATTCCTGATACGTTGAAAATACTTTTTTTATAGGAAATCTTATTCGGTGTTCAGAACGATTTTCCAGATTTTAGGAAATTTACGACGTCTTCCTTGGAACGAGCCTAGACGTAAGGATCACGTCGTATTCTCTTTGTGTTTACAAGAAGTTCATCATTGAAGTCTTGGTCGCGAAGTTCGCGAAGTCCTTAAAAAATTTTTCGAATTAATCGGAATCAGCCTTAGACGCGGGTTACAACGACTTCCGGTCGTCGAGACAGGGCCTACCTGGACGGTCTCCAGGTTTGATTCCTGTACCTGCAGAGGAGGGTCCTCTTGAAGGCCTGCCGGAAGACCTTATTGAAGATCGTGTAGAAGATGGGATTGACCATCGAGCTGGCGTAGCCCAGCCAAGTGACCAGATCGATGATCTTATGATCGATCTTCTTCTCGCAGTCGGGACAAAATGCTGGGACCAGGTTGAGGACGAAGAAGGGAGCCCAGAGTATGACGAAGGTGAAGAACACGACACCCAGTACCTTAGTGGCCTTTTGCTCCAGACGGATGATCCTACCGTGTCTGGAGCTGTTACGTGAGACGACGCTACTCGTTCTGGAGTGATGCGCCCTAACGGGTCCGGAATACCTCAGCAAACAGGGCGACGAGGAATTGTTCTTAGCCGCGAGGTTAGCAGCCCCATTGTGCGCCCTCATAGTGGCTGCTCTTCTCAAGGGTGTCGCCCTGGGCGGAGCTAGTAAAGTCCTGGTGCTACCGAGACTCGAACCCCTTCTGCCGCTTCTCCAGGTCACCACGGAGCTCGAGCTCTCATAATTCTTAGCGTCTACGCGCGATCTGCCCAGAAGACCCATGTCCAGGTTTTTCCCTATAGGCTTCAGGGTGTCGCTGGACACTATCACCACCTCCGAGGACGGCTGAGGTGGCTTTTCGGAGGATTCACCGAAATAAGGACACGTGCACGGCGGCGGTAGGGACAGATCGCCGATCTTGTCGAAGACCTTCTTCTGGCCGACCTTTCCGTCCTCGATGGTCGAGCTCTTACGGGACGAAGGCCTACTGCTGATCGTCTGCTCGTGGAAGCTGAAGGAACGCTTGCGCGTTATCTTCGGCGGGGAATCGACTCGTTCCAGATGTGCCTCGTTGTAGGTAGACGCTCTCCTTCTTTGCCTCCAGGGCGTAGGTGGACTAGGCTCGTCCTGGGTCATCGTCAAGCTGCTTCTCGAACCTGAAGCACTGCTCTCAGCACTTTCACCACTTCTGAAACAAAAACAATACCCGTGCCAAACTTTACTGTCTCGTCTCCTTGTAATTCAGGGACGATTTTTCTGACTTTTTTTCTTCTTCTATCGCTGCTTCCGCAAATTCATCTCCAGATGCTTTCACAGGATCGAAGGATCCCGAAGATTCGACCCGCCCTAGTTTTTGGTCTGGCAGGAATTTCTAGTCCACGATCGGGCTCGAAGTGGAATAATAACAGGTGCGACAAGGAACATGGGCTTCTAGAAGGAAAGATGATGAAACCGAATGGAGAAAAAAAAAGCGTGTAGAACTAGACCCGCTGAGGTAGCAGAGAAGAAAAAGTGGTTCTTCATGAAAGGATATCAGCGACTGACGCCTGTATTGGACCTAGAAGTGGGACGTGTCGATCGCTTGACAAATTGGTTGGAAAGTTGCCGAACGGCGTACGAGTCAAGGGACTGGAGGAAACACGGCGGCTGGGTGTGACGAGCCATGAAGAGCGTACAGAAGTGCTTTGCAAACAGGGGAGGCACCGCCATGTGTACAGCTTCTGTTTACCTGTCAAACAGGGCTTAGCGAAATGTTTGTATCTCTCGCGACGATGACACGGATCCTCACCCGGCCCACAGATCCCAAGGGTCACTCGAGCGCTTCCGCTCTCTTCGCCGTGCATTATACTCAAAATGGCTGGGATCTGTATAAAAAAAAAAAAAAAAAAAAAAAAAAAAAAAAAAAAAAAAAAAAAAA